AGAATTTTGAGATAAAGAAGGAGAGAGATATGGTGCCATCAACTGATAGAATTTGTGAGCTATGGCATCCACTTGAGAGGATTCTTCCCTCATTGTCTTCGGTTGACAAGGGTTGGTGTTCTTTGCATTGGTTGAGGTCGAAGCCCTACGAGAATTATATTGTAATGAATTTTCACTCAAATTCTCGAGTAAGGTCCAAGTCTCATCCGCATTCTTAGACATGAACATCCCTCCACATGATGAGTCAACCATGAGTCTATGTGGTTTGGTTAAACCATCATAAAAAGCTTGGACCAATTGCCATTTTAGAATTAGGTAGTACGGACATTTCCTAAGGAGGTATTGTAGTCTTTCCCAAGTCTCATGGAGTTGTTCCCCATCGATCTAAGAAAAGCTAAGAATGGAACGCCTCATTTGATTGGTTTTACTCACTAGATAATACTTTTTTAAGAATTCTTGTTGCAATTGTGCCCATGAAGTGATGAAATTTGCAACAAGGGAGTTCAACCAATATTTTGCCCTATCTTTTAAGGAGAATGGGAATAGACGCAGATGGAGTGCATTTTCAGGGAAGCCCCGCAACTTAAAATTAGAACAGATTTCAACGAACTCATCAAGATGCTTATAGGGATCTTCGTTATCAAAGCCATGAAAAGATAGAAGCATTTGAATTGTGCAAGATTTGATCTCATATTGAGCTGCATCGATATTTGGCATCACTATACAAGAAGGGGAGGCATAAGTGGTGGGGATGAAATGGTCCCTAAGAGTCATAGGTACCACATTTGGAATTTCAGCCCTATCATTATTGATTCCCTCATTCCCCAAATTTCTTCATTACCAACCATTGTATTAAGTTCAAGATCAAGTCCTCTTAAATTTTTAGATTACCTAAGGTTTCTTCTAAGAGTTCTTTTAAGTGAATTTATATCAATTGGCACTTCAAGAGTTGGTAAAGATAATGAACTACGGTTCAACATCAACAACACAATTCACAACAATTAAAACACCCCTTCACCATCACATTCACATACGATGTTCCCGTTCTCCTCAATTGTCAACAAGACAGAAAATAAATGGCCATGACAAGGATTGATGCTTTGTAAAACAATAAAACAATAAGAGCCTCAACAAGGGCTTCATAAGCTAAAAATTTCTAACTTTAACCACATGTAAGATATTCACAATTATGAAACTAGAACTTCAAAAAACTTACCTGAAATCCTTTAGACTTATGATATTTTCATTTTTTTTTTTGGCAAGCCTTGAGTCTCTAGAATCTCGCAAGAGAACTTAGAACACAATGTTACCAAAACCAATAAGAAAATATTTACAAGACACAATATTTACAAATCAAACCAAAGTAATCTCTAAAACCTCAGTTACAAAACCATTTGCAATCCCCGGCAACAGCACCAAAAATTGATGTGCGGTCGATTATCAATTATAATTCAACCCTTTTACAATAGCACAAATCATTGTAAAATAGGGCTATTGTTCGGGTAAGTCGAACCACAGTAATTGCTAGTTTATGGCAACCAAGGTCTTTAAAAATCCCTTTTAGTTTGATAATAGAGGTGTAAGGTTTTGTTTGGTTTGTCACTATAAAATAAGAATTAAAATGTGCATAAAACAATAATTGTAAGGAATTGAAGAGAAATAATGTAGAAAGGACTAGGGAAATGAATCCACTACCTACCCTATAAACATGCTAAAATATGATTTACATGGGATTATAACATATATAAGTGGCCATGATATGTAGCTACACATGGTTGCTACATTATCCTCAAGAAATTCATGAAATCAATGGCAAGAATAACTTATCAAAGTTGTACAAGCTTGAACTACCTAAACTAGGGTGTAGCCTTAGATGTACTCACTATGCTAGAGATTATCAAGCCCTCAATTAAATGATGATATAAGCATATGAAGTTAAAAATCAAGAATAGACCATCAATGGAAGGACCTAAGCCATGGACTATCAAGCTTCTCAAACACCATACCCTTAAAACCATTCTACAATCCCATTTTCATTGTCACCATGAAAATGCAAGCCATATAACCATTAGAACATACAATCTAAGACAAGAGAACAGATTCAACATGATCATTTATATAAATTTAGGTTCATTACATTAAAATGAGTACTCTAGATTGTAAAACTACCACATATATACATCATTCCCCCAAAATAAAATCAAAACTAAAGTATGCTTACAAAGAAGGGCTTCATCACCTCCTTAGAAAGGGAGTTAGTTACCCATAGGAGCAATGAAGGAAGGAGAATAGATGAAGAAGCCTTCCATTTTTACCCTAGAGGACCTAAGACACATAAACCCTCAAGCTCTCAATATTTCTCTCTCTAGACTATGTAAAAATGTGAGATCCCCCTTTCTCCATGTCTCAAGCTCCTAATATATCAACCTTATCCTTCCATCCACTCCAAATTCGTGGTCCAAAGCTCCTAGACAAAGTGCAGAGCAATCCCCTAATTAAGTGGATAACATTTGGTGAAGAGGAAGGAGCCCATGCTTGTTTGTCAGTAGAATGGCGGGCACCCGCAGGTGTAGGGCGGGTGCCCGCACCTTTACGATGTTTCTGGCCAATTGGGCGGGTACCCTCAAGTTTTGGGCAGGTGCCCGCGGTACCTTAGACTCACTGCCCAAATAAGCGAGCGCCCGCACTAGCACGATTTCGCTGGTCAAATGGGCGGGCACTCGCAAGTTTTGGGCGGGCGCCCACAAGTTCTAGGCGGGCTCCCGCCATGCTTCAGCCTTTCACCATTTCATCTTGAACTACTTTTGGATTGGTCCGTTAACACGGTCCTCCTCCTAGGTACGATGCAGCGAAACTCATGAGTTCAATGGATATCTGGCTTGGTCAAAATGATGGTCCCCGGTAATGGTGCACTTTGATCTTCAAAAACTTATCAAAGCGTCACTTTTAACTTTCTTCAGAGAAGCAACCTGAAAACAGACAAAAGCATGCAAATGAAGCTAATATATACAATATGGTCAACTAATGGACTTAACTAATGCAAATAAGGGCGCTTGAATATGCAAAATTCAGCGCTTATCACAACCTACCATCAGGGGGTCCACTCCATTATTTAGATTTTATGTGGTTTTATCTTAAATAACAACTAAAAGTTTTTTTTTTATTCGATGTAGGATTTCTGAAAAATACCAAGGGCCACTTTATTCATTCACAAAAGTAAAGTACTGGAAAACATTATACGATTACTTTATTAAAAGTACCTTTTTAAATTCATTGCATTCCTTGGCAATAGGGCGTACCTTTTTTGTGACGCAACTGGTGGTTATGGTCGTACTACGTCCATTCCCTATTGGGTAAATGGCCATGGGCTGCTCATGGTGTGTATTTCTTCTGGGGGTAGATGGACAAGGGGGGCATACCTTTATCACTTATTGCATCTTCGGAAGTATTCTTTTGCTTCCCTTACCATGCAGGGTAAGAAGTGGCCTTGAGTCAAAGCTTTGCGAGCTAATGATCTGCCTCCGGTGTGATTCCCGCATTCCTCTTTGTGCAGCTGTTTTAAAACTTCTCTGGACTTTGTAGGGGTCAGACATTTGAGGTAGGGCCCAGAATATGATAGCCTAAAGAGCTGTCCTCCTACAACTGAGTATTTAGTAGCTTTTATCCTTAACTACCGGGCCGCCTCCTTGGAATTGGGGAGTTCTCCTCTTTCAAGGTAAGCTAGTATAGGATCCATCCAGCTTGGTTCCCATGGAATAACCAGTACCTATACCCCCCTTGTGATGCTTGGTGTTCCCAGGACATCAATGAGGATGACCCTGGCTAGTGATTCATCTGTTATGGATGTTGCGCAAGCCAAGTGATCGGCTATTGGGTTTTCTTCCCTCGGGATTTGCCGAAACTTGACTATATCAAAGTTCTTTGCTAGTCTTTCAACCTTTTCTCAGTATACACACTTTTTACCCCCTCTGGAGGTGTACTCTCCTATCACCTCTCTGGTAATGAGCTGTGAGTCACTATGAGCTCTGAGATGCTTTACATGGAGTTCTTTAGCCAGTCTGAGCCCTGCCAGCAGTGCCTCATATTCTTCTTTATTATTCGTGACTAAGAATCCTAGCCAGATTGATTGCTAGAGTTTAGTCCCCCTGGGAGTTCTTATTTCTAACCCTGCTCTGGCTTTGCTTTGGCTCGAGGATCCATTAACGTATAACTCCCAACAAGGGCTTTCTGTGATTTGCTGCTCTTTTCCTAGATCTGCATCCAAGAGAAAATCTGCAACCACTTGCCCCTTTTTCGCGGTACGTGATTCATACCGAATATCAAAGGAACTTAACTTAATTGCCCATTTGGTGATCCGACTTGAAATATCCGGTTTACTGAGAATTGCTTTGATCGGGTGTGTTATGGGGACTATTATCCGATCAGCCTCAAAGTAGTGCCGAAGTTTCTTTTTTGCCTGAACTAGAGCAAAAATGATTTCCTTTTCCATTGAGTACCTATTTTCAGCATCGGTTATGGCCTTACTAGAGTAGTTCCCCACTTCTCTTACTAGAGCTGAATTGGTTGTTGACCGAGATACTGTTAGGTAAAGGTACAATGGTTCTTCGGGCTCTGGGGCAGATAAAATTGAGGGGCTTGTCATGTACTTCTTGAGTTTTGTGAGACCTTCTCTTTGCTATGCCACCAAAATATATCCTTTTCTTGCTTTAATTGCATCTAAGAATAGTTTACATTTGTCTGATAACCTGGATATAAAATGGCTAAGAGTTACTATTCTCGCGGTGAGGATTTAAACTTCCTTCATGGTTCGGGCTCCTTGCTTCATAGCAATTTTGCCAACTGAGTAGGGCCTCATTTTCCTGGGCTGATAGGAGTGTCCCTATATAGGTTAGCTTGTGCTTATCCTCGGCGACTATCTGCAAGGCTTTTAGGGGTTCTTTAGTTGGATGCTCCTCTTCAGGCTCCTCTCTCTCTTCGGGAGAGGAAGAGCCCGGTAATTGTTATTTTAGTAATTTCTTGCCTTTATCAGTTGGATAAATTGTTATGTGGTACCACTCCTTTGTTGTCACTTGATCTCCCCAAATATCGATAACCTCTTGACCGTTCGGGCTAACGCACCTCATGACTTGATGTAGAGTTGATGGGACTCCTTCTATGCGGTTAATCCATCCTTGGCCCATTAATAGATTATAGGTTGGATGAATATCCACAATCACAAAGTTCTCTTTCAGAGATCTATTAATAGCAGTGACTGATAGTGTGATTATGCCTATGGGCTCCACTCTTCTTCCATTGAAACCTACCAAGGGGTTTATGGTGGGGCGAATTTGATCTGTGGCCAATTTTAGCTGATCGAAGGTCCACTTTGCTATAATGTTGGCACTACTGCCGAGATCAATTATTACTCGTCTGACTAGGCAAATAGACACTAGCAGGTTGACTACTAATGGGTCTTTATATGGGTACTGTACCCTTCTGAGATCTCCTTCATGAAAAGAAACCTACGCAGGATTGGGTTTGCAGTCAACAGTATTGATTTCGCCAATCCTTCCCAACTTATGGGCTTATTTGAGTTGGATCCTGTAAGAATTTTCTAGATGCTCATCCTCCTCCAGATGGCCATAAATTGTACTGATTACTCGAATAGGATGGTTTTCTGCCAAAATCTTTGGAGACGTTCGGGTTCTCTCGTGCTGCCTTTGTTACCTTAATATAACCAGGTAGTCTACTAATTTGCCTTTGGCTTTTGACACCTCCACCTACCTTATCAAGCTCCTACAATCATTGGTTAGGTGGCCAAAATCACTATGGAACGCACAGTGATTACTTTGGTCCCTCTGTTCTATTGGTTATCTGATTGGTGGTACGATCTAGAAGATGTTCCTAGCCTTTGTCTCTTGATACAGTTTGACTAGCGTCACTTTAAGAGGAGTGACCTTTTCAGCTGTTCGAGATTTCTTTTCAGGGGTTCTTCCTTCGATGCTCGGGGATTCGCATTGGACCCTTGATGTGTTCAGTCGCTCTTTTGGTTGGCTTTCCATAGTTATCAGAGTTGCCCTTTGCTACCTGGTTACCTCATTCTCTTCAAGTCTGATATAGCTTTGCGCTCGTAAATTTAATTCTGACATATTAGTCGGAGTTTTTTTCACCAGAGATGAGTAGAGCCTTACACCATGGCTATCTTGAATGCTTCTATGGCCGTATTCTGATTGCAATATGGGATGCCAGAGGATTCTATGTTGAATTGAGTGAGGAAGGCTTGTAGGTCATCTCCTTTCATCTGCCGAATTGTAAAAAGACTTGCAATAGTTGTCTTCTGTTTCTTGTTTCCACAAAATAGGGTAAGAAATGAGATGCATAGTGATTCGAAGCTTAAAACTGATTTGCAAGGGTGATTTTTGAACCATTCAAGGGCCACCCCTGTCAAACTGGATGGGAATATTTTGCACATGAATGGATTGTTATGTGCTTCTAGCGTCATTTCCTAAGTATAGTTGTTCAGGTGCTGGAGAGGGTCTCTAGTTCCATTGAATTTCATGATTTTGGCATTGTGAATTACTTGGGTCTCGCGACTTGCTCTATCTCATCTGTGAAAGGAGTTTTCACTATTAATGCAGTAAATTCCCTTACCATATCTTCGGGTTTTTGGGCTTTCAGCCCTTTGATTCGCTCATCCATTTCCTTTCAAAGCCTAGCGATGAAGTCATTCCTTGAAGACGGTTGGTCAGCTGTAGGGATCCATGCTTTTCTCTTACCTGATTCAGCATCATCTGATGGATAGGCCTTGGTGGTTCGAGGTCCTCCCATAGTGGAGTTCCCCAGGATACAGGATTGGCTTGCTGTATCGTTGGCATCGTCTAAAGTTCTGTTAAGCTGTTGCCGTGGAACCCTCTATGGGAAAGGAGGGTTGTCAGGACCTGGCTCTAGAGGGGTATTTTCATTCTGTCGTTCGGGCTGAAGGTCGTTCGGTGGATCGTTCCACCGAGCGTCACCTCGAAGTCTTTCATTTTCTTTCACGCAGAGCGTTGATTTGCTGATAAGCGTCAAATATTGCATATTTAAACACCCTTAATTACATTAGTTAAGCCCATTATTTGATTTATGTTTATAAATTAACTCCATTTTTGTGTTTTTGTAGGTCTAATTGTGAAAAAGGAATAAAAAGGTTTTAAGGGTTTTTTGAGAAGAAATGCCCCAAATAGGCAATGGATGCAACCAGCACTGCAAAAGAAAAGAAGAAGCCAAGTAGTGTGCCTCACATCCAAACGCAGGAATTGACGTCCGAACGCCAATAATCAGGGCCTCGCATCCGGACACCATGCTTCGTGTCTGAACGAAAGGCTACAGGCCCCTATTTTTATTAAGTCCAATTTTGTTCTATCTTGAGTGGAAATTTGAATTTCAACGAGTTATATTATTTTCAAAACTCATCTAAGGATAAAGAGGGGGCAAAGGCTTGTAAGGAGTGAGTTAGTTTTGGTTTTTGAAAAGATATTGTGAGGGAGAGGATTATCTTAAGGTTCTTAGGCTGAGCTTTGCAACAATGGTGAAATGAGGGAATTTCTTCTCTTCTTGAATCCTTGAGGTTTGCTGCCATATCCGTGAGAGGCTAACTTCCTTTCTAGGGAGTTGATGTAACCTAGACCAAGTAAACATATATTGGTTTGTATTTTAATTTGGGGATTCTTCTTGTATATATTCAGTTTCATAAATTAGAAGTGTTTACATGAAATTGATGTATTTTGCATTGAATTAATGTAAGTGATTATCATTTGAATATATATTTGTGTAAATTTGTTCATCTTGTCTTAGAAATCACATTGACATAATTATACAATTGATTTCCTATTGTGACAATGGGAAAGAATTTATGGAATGGTTATATTGGCATGTAATTGAGTATTTATATATGTTATGCTTAAGAAAGATGGACTATGCTACACCTTTAGATTAATGTAGTTAGGTAGATGGTCCATACCAACAGAAGATAATCTATGATATTTAATTGATTTCATATACTGCAACATACCATTGAAGAACCTTAATGGGCCGTGCCTAGGGAAGATGGTTCATACCACAACCTAGTTTAGGTGGATGAACCATGCTAACCAAAGATGGGTTATGCTTAGTCCATAAATGTATGATCTTCTTGACGATGTTGTGGTAATTTTATGCTTCTACACATAATTTTATATATATAATTGTCTATCCCCAAGTTGAGTGCAATTTAACATGTTTATGAGGTTGAGGTGAAGTCAATTCCCTAGCCTTCTATTTATGAGTTCAATCCATTCTAATCACATTATTTACTATTTTATGTAATTTAAATTCGTAGGTTAAGTGACAAACCAATTAAACTATCATCTCTATTATCAAATTAGGAATTAATTTTACAATTCTGTTTGCTATAAACTAGCAATCCTTGTGGTTCAACAACCCCCTACTATAGCGTTAATCTGCAATGATGAATGTGTTATTGTTATAGGTGGTATTTTTAAGTGGCACACATTTATGCGTATCAACTTTTAGTGCCGTTGCTAGGGATTGCATACGGTTTTGTAATCAGAATTTAAAATTGCTTTATTGTTTGATTGTATATATATTTTGATGTTTTTGTGTTACTAGGGACTAAGGACTATTCAGGAAGTTTAATTGCAAAATTTGAAGTCTTAAGGACTTTAGGTAAGTTTTTTTAAGTTCCTAGTTTATTCCTTGTTTGGCCCTTGTCGAGGCTATTGCGATTTCTTGTTTTATTCAGAGCATAAGTCCTTATCGTGGCCAATTTAATCTGTTTTAATTATTATTGAATTGAGGAGAAAGGGATCAATGTATGTGGATGTATTGATGAAGGGTCGTTGTGATTGTTGTGTTTGATAGTTGATGGTAGGTCGTAGATCATCATCTTTATCACATCTTAAGGAACCAATTTGATATTGCTTTACTTGAAAGAACTCTTAGGCAACAAAAAAGAACCTTAGCGAACTAGAAATTTTAAGAGAACTTGAAATTGAAGTAGACAATATGGCTAATGAACAAATTAATCTTGAAATTCCTAGAGTTAAAAATGAAAATTTAGCCCAAATAACTCTAAGGGATCATTTTGTACCTTTTACATATACATCTTCATCATGCATTGTCATGCCCAATGTTGAGGCTCATCATTATGAGATCAAATCTACCACAATTAAAATGCTTCCAACATATCGTGGGTTTGATAATGACGATCCTTATAAACATCTTGATTAGTTTTTGGAAATCTGCTCCACTATCAAGATGAGGGACTTCCCCCAAGATTCACTTCATATGCTTCTCTTCCCATTCTTTTTGAAAGATAGAGCAAAATATTGGTTGAACTCTCTTGTTGCAAATTCCATCACTTTATGGGTCCAACTGCAATAGGAATTTCTTAAAAAAGACCTATGAGTAAGACCAATCAAATGCATCGATCCATTCTTAGCTTCTCCCAAATTGATGGAGAAATATTCTATGAGATGTGGGAGAGACTTTAAGATTTTTTGAGGAAGTGTCCGCACCACCAAATTCCAAAGTGGCAATTGGTGCAAGCCTTCTATGATGGTTTAACAGAACCACATAGATAATTAATCGATTCTTCGTGTGGGGGCATGTTTATGTCCAAAAATCCAGGTGATACATGGACTCTACTTTAGAACATAAGCAAAAATTCTATGCAATATAGTTCTCGTAGAACTCCTACATCTAATGTGGTGAAACCCTCAAATCTGTGTCAACTACGGACTCTTAAGGAAGAATCGTCTCAAGTGGATGCCATATACCACAAAGTTTTTTAGCTTGTGGCATCACATCTTTCATCTTCTCAGAATTCTTCATCAAGTGGTATGTGTGCACATTGCACAAGTACTTTTCATAATGCAGAAGATTGCCCCACATCGGAGCAATTTTCTGAAGGTATGCCAGAACAGGAGAATGCCACGTTCTCTCGCCCAAGAAATAATCCTTATTCCAATACATACAATCCAGGTTGGAGAGATCATCCAAATTTCTTATAGAGCAAACAAGCCCCACAAAATTCATCATTTCAAGGTCATGGGCAATCAAATCAATTTAATTCTCAATCCATGAACTGGCCATTTCAAGCTTCTTCAAGCTATCGTCCTTCTTCATATAATGCAAATTTTTCTAATCAAAATCCTGTTCCTTTTCAACAGTCTTAATTACATGAGCTATTAATTTCCAATAAGCATATAATGGCTACCCTTGGTGGTATACAATCAACTGTGCAATTGGTTAGTACTCATTCCCAATTAATAGCCAATATTGAAACCTAACTGGGACAATTGGCTGATTCAATAAATCAGCTTCACAAGAAGGACACAGGAAAACTTCCAGCTTAATCTATGGTGAACCTGAAAGGGCAATATATGTTTAATGAAATCACTCATCCGAGTGGATCAAATCTTGAGCAAGTTCAAGCAATCACCACACTTCGTAGTAAAAGAATTGTGGACAATAAGGTTGATGAAAAAATTGAAACTCTTGCTCCCAAGGATTCAACTTCTTCATCCAAAAATCTGAAAGTTAGTCAAGAAATTCCAAATCCGCCAATCCAAAATGTTGAGACATCTTATGAGCCTAAGGTTCCTTTTCCTCAATGTCTCATAGAGTCCACATATTTTGGGGAAAAAGGTAATAAAATTCAGGAAATGTTTGCTCTTTCTTGCCATTTTCTCATCCTCCATTCCTCTCCTTGATGACATTAAGCAAATTCTACCTTATGCAAAGTTTTTTAAAGATTTGTGTACTAAAAAATGCACTTCTAAGAGTAATATTCCTAAAAAAGTAAGGTTAATTGAGCAAGCAAGTGCTATCATTCAGCATAATACACCTCCGAAGTTTAAGGATCTAGGTGCTTCGACAATCTCGTCTGTCATTGGAGACAATGAGATCGAAAATGCCCTCTTTGATTTAGGATCAAGTGTAAATCTAATTCCTTACTCAGTATACTTATAACTTGGCTTAAAAGAATTCAAAATTTACTTCAATTGTCTTGCAACTTGCGGATAAATCTGTAAAACAACCTCGTGGCATTATTGAGGATGTACTAATCTAGGTAGACAATTTTTACTTCCCGGTTGACTTTGTGGTTCTAGATACTGAAATGGTTCATAATCCAATAAAACATATTCTTGTGATCCTTGGTCGACATTTCTTAGCTACGGCTAATGCTTCAATTAATTGCCAAACCAAAGTGATGGATATTTCTTTTGGAAATATGAAGGTTAAGCTTAACATTTTAGTGCTTCTTAACATCCTCAAGGGGAATATGAGAGTTTCTCTCTTGACATCATAGATGAAATGATTGAAGAATCTCTCTCATTTATTTTAAGTTAAGACCCTCTGGAAACTTGTTGGCTCATTTTGACTTTGAAAATTGCAATATTGATCAATCTATTAGAGAAGTCAATTATTTGCTTGAAGCCAATGCAATCTTTGACTTTCCTTCTTGGAAAGTGCCAAAGGAACCTCTTCCATTAATTTCCAGCACTCCTCCTGTCCCTTCACTGAAATCTCCACCTCAACATGAGTTAAAACCACTCGGTTAATCTCAAGTATGTATTTCTTAGTGTAAACAAAACTCTTCTGGTCATTATTGCATCGATCTTTCTCAAGACTAAGAAAACAGCCTTTTAGCGATGCTATAAGAGTACAAAGAAGCTATTGGTTGGTCGGTGGCTGATTTAAAAGGAATTCACCCCTCTATTTGTATGCACCACATTCTTTTGGAGGAAGAAGCGACACCTTCCCGAGAGGTGCAGTGATGGTTAAATCCTAACATGATTGAGGTTATCATGAAAGAGGTAATCAAGCTATTAGA